AAGATGCCAGAACTCTCCAATAAATAATCATTTAAATGACAAAATGGAAGACAGTTGTTTCAGATTAAAAACACAGGAAGCTGCTAGTCAAATGCCTACAGAGTGTTATGGGCTTACTTTAATATACCACAGAGATTCAAAATAAAGATACGTATATCTTTCTTTTTTTAGAAAACAGAAAATGTGTCAAAGATGCCAGTATTGTCTGAGGTACTATAAAACATCGTTGAAGACTAAAAGGCATTCATTAAAAATAAATGTATTCCTTATTCATATTTTTATTAAAGAGCACTTTATACACAATGCTCTTTCATAAGTGACTTAAGACACATCACAGCAGACACTACATCCACACAAACCTGGACTTTAATCTTCTGCCATACAAACTACAAGTAGAATTACGTATATCTTTTTTTTTATTCACACAGAAATGCAGATAAAGCAAATAGAGACAACAAAACAAAGAAAGAGAGAAAAAAAGAAAAAAGGACTAACCCCTAAAACTAACCCCACCCCCCCTTTGGAGTCCGAGACTCCAGCTTCATAAACCTGTCTGCTCCCCCGATTTCATTTCCAGTATGTGCTATATACATACATCATAAACTTTGCCCTACACTCCTGTCTTCTTCTGGACCCAAGAATATATTAGTTCCCAGCTTTGTTTTACATAGTCTCTTGGTTGTTCCCGTAGTGCTTCTGATAGGGTGTCCAGTTCTGCTATGTCCCATAACTTCTTTAATAGCTCTTCTATCGTTGGAACCTCTTCGGTTTTCCATTTTTGGGCCCAGAGTAATCTAGCTGCTGTGAGTATATATATAATACAATGCTTCAATTTATTATCATTAATGCCTGATATGACATTCAATAATGCCATTTCAGGTTTTATATCTAATTTCTGCTGGGTAATTTCTTTTGCTACATCCCATACCTGTGTCCAGTAATTTTTGACCTTTTCGCATGTCCACGTATATTACGTATATCTCATTGCCCTGGAACAAGTTCTGAAAGGTTCCAATCTTTTATTTTGTTAAACCCGAATATATATATATAAAACGAGTAAGACTATCAAAGTTTTCTTGGAATGACACCAAAAAGAGCAAAATTAATTACCCTTTGCATAAAAAGGAATTCCCTTGCTTGTACTGGCAATTGCTTAGGAGATAGCAAGCTGTTGATTGCCCCAGTGGGGAGAGACAAGCAGGTAGGTGGGTATGAGAGACACCGTTCCAATTTTATAGGGGATGCAAATTCAGAAAAATGTTGAAATGGATGGCAAAAAATACAGAACTGGAAGGGAGAAAAAGAAAAATAGATAATTTATTCTTAATTATGAGGGAAGCATGTGTGTTATAATCCCAAAGTACATACATTTATAAGGTACTGGGATTCAAAATATACATTAGAAAAACAAACCCTGGGGTCATCAGTAGAACTTGGGAGTACCATGTTGATATTTGTGTATTAACATTAAATTTGCTACTGTGACCAGCTCCAACACAAGCTTGTTACTTAAGATAATTTTCCAGTAATGTATTTAACACCAGTCATTAACCACACCAGAACCAGTGGCTAAAGAATGAAAATGATATACTTTTATTATATAGTAATATCAACTCAGGAAAAGATCTAAGCTTCAGTTCTTCTTCAGTTACCACCACTTAAGAACAACCCTTTTTCTTCAGTTAAACTCTCTTTCTCTTCACATTCCGGCCTTCCAGCTCCTTCCTCCTTCAGGATCCAGGATAGGGTGGCTACATGCACGATCCAGCTAACTGCCTTGCTTCCATGTTAACAAGCAGATTGGTCAGGGTTCCCATTTTTTCATCACATAGGAGAAAAGTACTAATTTACCAAATGTTTTAAAACTAATATGAAATTCTACCGGGGAGTGGCAATACTGAGCCAGTCCTTCAACATCTCACATACTTACAAAATCTCTTAGGATTTCCAGAGGTCATTTCAAATCATATTTAGCACACAAGACACTCTGCATCCATAATAATCCTTCTTCAAAATAAGGAGATGCTTAGGTATCAATAATCTGTCAGAAGTGAGCTGGTAATACATAGCAACATAAGAACAATCTATCTTTTGGCTCACGTAGAGCAGCTTTGTGATTGTGCAGTACATACTAAGTTGCAGAATGGAGGTCAACACTGCTCTCCCAAGTTGCAGGGAAGTGATAGGTGAAGCAACTATGAAATAACTTGCCAAATTCAACATGCATTTACACAAAAGATGGCTCTAACAATTCCTTTTCAACAGATGTTCCAAGGTTATAGAATGCATTTCACTGGGACAGCAGGTTGGCCTCTTCCTCTTGCCCTATCACTATAGGCATCCTTCAGACTCGAGAAACTATGGTATCATGCTCTGTAAGGAGGACTTGGAACAGCTTCTAGTGTGGTTGAGAAGGCCAATTCGAGAGTGACAATCCCTTCCACACTGAAGACAAATACAATCTGTCCCCTGTCCAGCTCCCTGGTTTTGCTGGTTTCGGGACTGCCTCTTTGCCTCAGCCTGCTGAACAAGGTCCCTTCAAATTGGGAGAGGCCATGCTGCACCACCTGCCTCCAACACCTTACCCTTTCACTAGCAGGAAAAATCTTATTCTGGCATATAGTTGTAGAAGGGATACCCATGTTAGTCTGTGCAAGCATTATAAATAAAAGCAAAATAGAAAAAGTTTAAAAAGACAAAAATGTGCTGGCACCTTAAAAACTAACTTTTATAATTTTTAATGTGAGCTTTTGTGGACAAGTGCACTTCATCAGGCAGACTTTTAACTGACTATGGCAAGAGGGGGATTATGGAATGCTGTATTTACTGATTTCAGGAGGGTATGCATTTAAATACTTTTTAGTATTGATTTCTAATATAATTATTTGCTTAATTGTTTTTAATGTTATATTTTATCTGGTTTTAATTATGAGGATTATGTTATTATACTTGACTGTGCACCACCTTGAGTCCCCTATGGTAGTGGTCCCCAACCTTTTTCAGGCTGTTGACCAGCTGGGGGAGTGATCGCCATGCGTGGGGGGGCGGGGGCACCCCCATGCGAGCGTGACACACCCACTGCAGATGTGACATGCCCATTGTGCGGGCAGGCGAATGTCCATATCCGTGGCCCAGTTCCGGCAAGCCCACAGACTGGCACTGGGCCATGGACCAGGGGTTGATGACCATTGCCCTATGGGGAGAAAGGTCGGATATGAATAACATAGATCAATAAAAAGAATGAAAATGGTTCAGTGAATTGGATCAAAGAGAGACTAGAACAACCAAAGCTATAATTCTGACAGGTGCAGAGGTGCATGCAGCTTTTCATAGCAAACATTGCAAACATGTCATAGCTGACATTCGCACTGCTCCCTCGCTGGGTATTTTCAACAAACAACTGAAAACATGGATGTTCAGGCAGGCCTTCCCCCTTTCTACCTAATACCTTCTTTTTCTGTTATAATATATCCCGTTTCTCGCCATCTTTGGGAAAAAATTTTATTCTATCTTTTAATTTATGTAAATTATTATTTGTGATGAGGTTTGTTATATGTTTATTTTTAAGTGCATGTTGTAAGCCGCCTAGAGTGGTCACAATTGACTAGATAGGCGGGGTATAAATGAAATAAATAAAATAAATAAAATAAACCATCACTTCATGAAACAAACTGATGATCAGCTACTATTAAATAAAATTTACAAAACACATCCAGGCTGCTAGTGCTACAGCTGTCTAGGAATATGGTAGGACTTCAGCAAAGGAGCATAATGAAGTAAAGTTGGGTGGGATAATAAAGATATCAGCATGAAATATATCATGATACTATACTTTGACAAAGCAAATAAAAAGCTTAATTGTGTGTTCCAGTGCAAGAAATTCATTATGAAATAAACAAAAATGAATGTGACCTGTAACTTGGTGAATCGATGGCAAAGATAGGCTAAAACCAGTAATTAAATGTATCAGCAGTTGAAGCTGCTTAAAATTCTGATTTGCTTAGTATGACTTTTTTGCAACTCACCAGAAAAGAAAAAAATGCCGCCCGTTTGGTTGCACACCTACTACACATGGCTTCTAAGGCTTAATAATAATAATTATTGTACACTGTCAAGTAGATTCCAACACATGGTAACCCCTTCCAGGGTTTTCTAGGTAGACAATTCTGAAAGGTTCTCAGGGCACCTTGAAACTGCAGCTTGCCCATAGCTACACAAGGTGGTTCCCTTCCCCAGAAGCACAGTGGGAAATTGAACTTCCATCCTCTACCTAAACCACCGAGCTATCCAGCCAGGTTCAGGCCTAATAGCCCTGTTTTGATAGCAGGTGCACCCTGACGTCCAGTCCTTTACAATGGTATCTGTTATATGAATCTGTTTTGCATTCATTTGACTTTGTGTTTTATATCCATGTGCTATGCACATGATTATCTGTTGCCTTCAACTTAATTAATTCCATGTTAGAATTTATATAATTTTTTACTTGGACACCTTGCAAATAAGTTATCCTCCACAAAGTGTTCATCATATACACAGATTTAATTTTTAAGTGTTACTCAAAATCTCCTTGAAACAAAATAAGTTTGGGAGTTACTTTGCTAAAGCATGTAAGTACCAAGATAAAAATCTCTCTGCCGTGTAAGTCAGAAATTGTGTACATTTACATATGGGTCTCAAGAGTATTCGCATTAACACTGACCATTCAGATAAATGTCACTGCCCAGTAACAGATGATGCCCATGCTACATCAGACACATTTCCTCTGCAGAACATGGCACTTCTGTAGATCTGGCTTGATTGAACATTTTATCTGATCTGGGAAGGCTCCTCCTGAGTCATCTCCCAGTTCACCCTTCTATTATTTCACACCAAAGAGTAATACGTCACACCAGGTAAGAGGTCAATGCTCAGTATAGCTATTTAACTCCATCTAACAACATTTTTGTCCACAAAATTGCAGATAAGGAGAAAATACATGCTGGTTTTTTTTTAATCTTTCAAAACAAGTTTATATGTGGGACTGGCAATTTTATCTGCATTAAATATTTAAAACACAAAATCAAGAGGTGATAGCTATTATGCATTATTTAATGCTAGGTTAAGACCATATAATCTTTTGCACATGGACTAAAGTACATCGAATAGGAAGGAAAAGCAAACATCAAACCTCCAATCATCCTACAGATTAAGTTTTCCCCCCTTACTATGGGGCTAAAAAGAAGCTTCTCATAAACCTCTAAATGAATTATGTTAGAAAGCAGGTAAGGTTAGTTCTGTTTCATCCTTTTCATGCTCCAGTGCAAAAACAAGACAAGCTACATATCCTTTATGCTAAATTCCTTAGGTTTTTTTTTTAAATCACATATATATTTATTTTTAAAATGCAGCTTTGATCGATAGCATTCATGACATTTCCACATCCAGGAGCGCCTCAGAAGCTTCCTTCCTGCACACAAGGCCACCCCAGCTGACAGCCAATTGGGTTTGATCACAGCCACTTGGAATCCGATTTTCATAACATGGATGAGGAGCTGAACTGCTGCTTTCTTTCTCCCTGCTCTCAGATAAGAAACTGATGTGGGGAGAGCGGATCCTGAGGGAAAAACACTACAATCAAGGGCTGTGTGGTTCTCTTGCTGTCCCTCTACGGCTGCAATTTTCAAAGAAGCTTGCCTGAGGCACTTTCAAATTATGGTGTCTCAATTCTGTAATCATATTTCAAGAGCTTTTTCTTAAAGGGTCTTTTAGGTAAACCTAGTCCGTCAACTACACTTATGGACTCAACAATCAGAGCTGCAATATAAATGCAATTGCAACGTTTCACAGAATTCTGCCTGGAAAGTGCAGCATGTCAAGAGGCATGAAGCCCATTCCCAAACATGTCTTTTTACCAATACCCACCAACTTTATCAGATGGAATGCCAGTAGTGGCTGGTCGATTAAGGCAAAAGAGGGCACTCTCTTGCCCCCCTCAGCCTACCCCAGCCTAACTACTTTTGTCTGTCTCCTTATTGTACTTGGAGAGGTCTCAGCCTCACCTGTGTTGTCCTCCTCCTATGTGAACGCCATTACTATGCATCCTCTGAGAGGAAAAATGGTGACCATAGCAGAAGGCATTCTGCATCCTCTGAGAATTCTGTTCTCCCAACCTCCTCTGAAGAAGTGAAGGGGTGTGAAGGCAGAAGCAGCCTAAGCGAATTTATGGACTGAGGGAAAGGATCAATCCAGATTTGAAGGGGTACATCCCATCCAGTCAAAAGCCGCCTATGAAAGCATTCATACACAAAGCTCCTTGCACAGGAAAAACATATTAGCAAGCTTAGGTGAAACCCCAAATTTTGCAAAACTGCAAAAGTATTTCAGGAAAAAAAATTTGAAAATAGCTGAATGGGCTGGCCATGCTGACTGACTTTTGGGGCAGAAACCAGTATGTTAGTGGAATAAGAAAGGAGCAGAGTAAATAACTTAGTGCCTTCCAAATGTTTTATGCTACAAATCCAATATTTCCCAAGCACTAGCCATGCCAATGGGGGCTGATGAATCTCCTATGTCAGCACAGCACAACATTCCAGCAGGTTGTCTGTTTTTGGAATAGTGTATTATAGGACAGCACGACTCATCACTGACTGAAACAATGTACAGGCCACTCCATAGATACTTTATTTTACACATCACTTGTACAAAAATAAACATGAATAAAGGGTGCAGAGGGACACAGCCTTGGTCACCCTGCACATCTGATATGGTTATGTTGGAACTTGTTTTTTCATTATGATCTTTGCCTGCTTTCCCACCTTTTGCTCTTTCCTAATCATGTCCTCAAGCAGTGCTTCTGTTTCTGATTTCTACAAGTAAACGCCCACCATGAGGTTTTTTTTAAGTGGTTCCCATTCAGGTGAGGGATTAATACCACATTCATAGCCTCATGCTGCCAGGGTCAGACAAACCCCAAATCTTCACTCTTCTTCTGTAAGAACTCAACAGACCAGAGCACTCAAAAAAGAAGAAAAGCAGGAAGTTACTAGAAATCAGATGGAAGAACATGAAAGAAGAAAAAAATAATTTCCAATGATAACCTTGCCTTGCACCATCTAGAACTGCTGCATTCTAAAGAAATAGAAGCAAAACACAAAAACGTAACCAGTGATCCCTCTAGAGATGCAAGGGGCCAGGGGACATCCCTTTCCAAACCTCTGTTTTAAAATAGTTTTAACCCCCTATGAAGGCCAACAAAGCAGACTAAGCTTCAAAGAAGCACTTCACTCTGTGAAGGAAACTCTCAACAGATAGCACTTCCCAGTTTCTCTCATAGGCCAGCATCTTCCATCTCATCCAGGTCAATTACTGTGCTGAGCAAAGCCACTTCTGCCCATTTTCCCTGTTGACATGGATAGAAAATTGAGCAATTACCCTTAAATGCCTCTCTCTCAGATCATCCAGATTGCTACATACACAATATTAAGCCCTCAATTGCCCCTGGCCAAAAGTGGCTCAACTAGGTCTGTCCTTTAGGAATAACCAATTTTTGTTGCTTGCAAGAGTTTATTATTCCTAAGGTTGTCACTATATTAAATCCCATTAAATCAGGCTTCCCATGGTGAAGTATACTACAGGCATCTGAGTCTCTGAGCAAGGCAAAGACAAAACACAAGTAGCTCAGGTCTGCTGTCTCTTGATTCAGCAGATGTAACTCAGGTGCATATGTACATATTACTTTACCAAATGCAATAGCAGTGTCTACAAAGTATTAGTTTTAAATCAAATAAGCAGGAGTTTAACAGTACCTAAGTGGACAGTACCTAAGTGGACAGTACCTAAGTGGACAGAAAAGGGCGGTTAAACCACAGAAGCCTCCGTGCTGCAAGGTCGGAAGACCAGCAGTCGTAAGATCAAATCCACACGACGGAGTGAACTCCCGTCACTTGTCCCAGCTCCTGCCAACCTAGCAGTTCGAAAGCATATAAAAATGCGAGTAGATAAATAGGGACCAACTGGGTGGGAAGGTAACAGTGTTCCGTGTCTGGCCACAAGACCACGGAAACTGTCTTTGAACAAATGCCGCCTCTACGGACATGACTGGACTAAAAGTTGAGGGGAACCTTTACCTTTACCTAAGTGGACAGAGCTTTCTCATGTAGACTGCTGCTACTGCCTTCTGCTGTTCCTGTGACCAATGCAAGAAGCAATGAAGAAATGGGGTGAAGCAACAAATGCTCCCACATTTCTCAGAAGTCTCAAGTGAAAGGGCTCCAATGTTCAATGGAACTACTGTAACCTCTGTGGCCTTCCCAGATTTCTCTCCTTTGCTTGTAGTCATCTTCCCGATCCATAATTCTTTTCCATCCCTCACAAAAATTTATCCTTCTATCATCATCTTTGCTACAGAAATTGAAACATCATGTTCACAGTATAGCATGTAAAACCAAGTCTGATTTAGTGTGCATAAATTCTCTTTCATCGTAACACTGTGTTGCATAACTGGAATCTTTTAAGCGTTGAATTCTGGCTAGGAATGGACCTTTCGTGTTTAAGCCAAAGATCCAAAACATGAAACAGAGGCTCCCTTTCAGTTCATGTTCTTCTGGAGATTGCTGAAAGAGGGCCTCTAAAACATGAACCATTTGTGTTTTCAAAATAAGTTTATACGAAAGTTTCATCTTCATCTTCTCTTTATGATGTAACCGTTCTGTGCCCTTGGTATGTCCAGTGGCCTGAGAATTTTTTCATCCAACATTGAGGCCTACTGTCAGCAGCCAAGCAGAAAATTCAGGGGTGGGGAGAGGGAACATCAATTCTGAATTTGTAAAATGGCTGGGAACCCAATGAGGAGTGCCCTTTGCTTGTTGTGGGAGCACTGTGTGATAAATTACTGGTGTCCTTCATCTTTAATTGCTGCCTGCTTGTGCCTAGATTTTGGATCCATTTTCTTTTTTGGGGGTTGTGGAAATTTTCCTTTCATCTCTTTGGATCATTTTTGCTGCTGCCAGGCAGCCTACCGGTGCCAACATCCTCCTTGAGATTTTTTTTTTGAAACTACACCCCCCCCCTTCCTTATTTCTTTCAGAATTATTCTCCTCTTTGGCTTTTGTTTGTTTGTTTGTTTGCTTGCTTGCTTGCATGCTTCCTTGCTTTTGTTATTTTCTATTCTTTAATCATTTTTGCTGTTGTTTGGCCTGCCTATGGGACTTGGGTTAAGAGAAGGAATCAAGGGGGGGGAGAAACCTCCTCCAATTTCAGTAGTTTTGGTTTGGGGGAGCTTTTATTATATTTTTTCATTTTATTTCCTTGCTTCCTTGTTTTGCATGTTCTGAAAAGGAACTGTATGGGTGTGTGTGCATGTGCATTCCCTACTGTGTGTCTGATTTTTTAAAAAACTGTATTCATTATGTTAAAGGTGCATACTTTGGCATGTGTTTTTTGGGGGGAGGAATTATTTGGTTTGGTTTGGTTTAGTGTTATGGTATTGCATGAAAGGGAAAATACCTTTCCTTGAGCCACTTTATCCATCCCCTGCATAATTTTATATGCCTCAGACATGTCCCCCCCTCAGGCGCCTTTTCTCTAGACTAAAGAGCCCCCAATACTGTAATCTTTCTTCATAGGGGAGATGCCCCAGCCCAGTAATCATGTTATATACAATATATTACTCCCTTATCAAGTTTTAACTAGTTTTTTAAATTTCCAATAGTTATATTTTTGTGGTAATCAACCCAACATGTCAATTTTTTAACATGGACAGAGCTTTCTAGCCATTTCAAACTAAATGTAGGACCTCCTGGCAGAAGACATGCCCCTACCTGCCAGGCTTCCTGCTGGCTTAGCTAATATTTCTCTAGGCAAGTGTCCTGGGTATTTTTCTATTTCTTTCTCTTGGCTGATAGAGATGTTCCTATATGCTAGAAGACCAAAGAAACTGTGAAATCAGACACAGCAGAAGGCCACCCCCCCCCCCATCATAGCTGCCAGCAGAACACAGAATTCAGGAGGACAATGCAATGCTACTTATGCCCATCCTCTGCACGCAGGCATGATGCCAAACAAGGTAGGCTCAATTTTATCAAAGGCAGCTCTGCAAAACCTCTTGGCATAGTTTCTGGAAAGTATGAGAAACTTCCCAAACCAAAAGGCAGTGGAATTGGAGGGGAAACTCAGAAACAAATCAAAGGTTCTTGCCCTGAGCAGGAAAATGAATAATATTTCTACTACTAACCAACAGAGAATGTTTAGTAGTACAGATATTTAAAAATATAAGAGTTTCAACATAGTATGGTCATTTTAAATTCCTTTACTGCCAAGCCTAAATTTTACAAATGATCTCCTGTTTCCATCTTACAGCCCTGAGATCTCCGTCCAGTTCTGCAACAGAGGTACTTTTTGAAACTGCTCTTTCCATATTTGGATATTTCATTTCATACAAATGTCCTGAATTCATTTGCCACCATCCCCAGAGGAAATATCAATTCATCTTAACTGGAATGTTCTCCAAAGTGGGAATGTATGCACTTTAATTTCAGTTAAAAGAGGAGGGTCTTACCTCCTCCATCATCTGCTGCCTCCGAACTCTGCTGCCTCAGACGGTGGCTAGGAAAAAAAACCACAAAGTGAAAACAATCTTTGAGCAAAAACTATAAAATAGCATTTTTGTAGTCTTCACCCAAAGAAAATGAAGAGTAGAGAAAGGACCCCATATCTACACTAGCTTTACATCCTGTAAGGAAGAGTATGCATCTTCTCTACATTGCTTCCCTAACATACTACAGCTGGACTTTTCCAATAACAATAAAAACCCTAGTTGGGATAATGCGAAGCCCAGGCCCTGGATATTAGGAATCAAAATGACTTTATCATATCGTGGCTTTCTGATCTAGATTCTGAAGATTGGAGGCTCATTAGAAATTAAATTAACTTATTCTGTGAGCACATCTAGAGCATAAGTTGTACTCTTTCCACTGAACACAACCAAAGCTTTGTCAGTGCACTAGCAAAAACATGTGTTCATTCAGCTGCTACAAGTCAGAAGAATAAAGTGTCACATTCAACAGATGACTATTATATAGAAATGTAGTGGATGAAGAGGCAGGAAACTTACTCTTCAATTTCTTGTTCAGCAGGTTTCTTTTTTGACCTGAAAGACAAGGAAAAACTAGGGCTGAAAAAAAGGAAGAAGGGCAAGATTCCATCTAGAGAATAGAAAATTCCCAAAAACTCTCTCACTGGAAAAGTACTTTTTAGTACAATCCCTCCCCCTAAAAGAATGTGAAATACTTATACCAATGAAGGCATCTACATATAACTCAAGGTAGTGAATTTAACTTACAAGGTCTGATGATATATTCACTGGCTGAAATTCTGCTATGCAGTTACACAAATGGCATAACTTTTGGAAGTGAACTACCATAACTTAAGAAATTGAAGTAGATGTTACCTGTTGTATATTGAGTAGCGCTACTTGCCATGCAACAGATAAGGTCCACAAAGATGTCTTAACTTATGGCTGTTTGCTTCCAAAAGTTATGCCATTTTTGCAACTGCATAGCAGGTATGTGACAGTAAGGTCTACCTTCCTTTGGAGTCTGTGTTAAGTTGAAAAACCTAAGGGTGTGTGTGTAGAACACCCTTCTCTCCAGAGGTTTAAAAAAAACTAAAGAGAAAAATTCCAACTTAATAGGATTTTTTTTCTCCTACTTTAATTGAGGAAAATGTTTATGTTGAGCAAATATTTAACCTTTTTCAACAGAAGACACTCAAAGCATTTTAATTTCTCCAGTATGTTAGACTGATTGTACTGTTTTTAGCTGGTAGACTAGTTCTTTTAAAATTGCCGCTGTATTTTATTATTTATGATATATTAGTAATGTGGAATGCTTATGTTTGTGTATTACTATAGAATCAAGTTCTTGGATGAGGGAAAGTCCAGAATTTTTTTTTAAAAAATGAAGATGACTTATACATTTTTCCACATCTCCTCGGCAACATGCTGCACATGTTTCCTGTTTCTTTGAGTGAGATGCATGAGCTCCACACATATTTGGAATGCATACACATGACAGAAATGCAGAGGTTCTTGTACTGCATGTTACAGAGGAAGAACAAGGAGAGGATCTACAAGTTACTGATGTGGATGTTGTAGATATTCTCTTCCACAACCAATACATGTCCTTTCATATACGGACACCTAACTGGTGGTGGTTAACAAGCAGAACATTCTTCAAGTACTCTGCTTTGATATTTTTTAAAATATTAAAATAACTGCCTGCCTTGAGCACTCCATGTGGCTTCAAAATCTAACCAAGCACCTGATGGCCTACTGGCCTGAACTGAATTACCATATTTTTCTGTGTATAAGATGCCCCCCATGTATAAGACATCCCCCACTTTTCTAACCCAAAATTAAGAAAATTTAGCTTTGAGTATTCAGCCTCTGGGCTCAGAACGCTCAGACATTACAAGTCCCTGTTGAATCTGAGCACTGCCTACAGGCTCCTCTTCCAACAAAGTGTCTTCCAGTTGGTTTGTTCAGTATCAGCTGATGTCAGTTACACAAGGCTCGTGATTGGAGGAACCGAAGCCTCCTGACTGTTGGAAGCTAAGCCTCGTGATTGAAGGAAGCCTGTTTGCAGAGGCAAGGTACAGGCTGTTTTGTTCTCTCCTCAGATTTTAGACAGAAGTACTGTCTTATACATCGAAAAATATGGGAAATAAAATCAGATTGAGCCTTACATAGAACTGAAAGTGAAAATAGTTTCAATATTTAATCACTAAAAGATAGTTTTGGCACAAGGGTGTCTATAAAGCTGCCTGTGAACACTAGCTCAAACTAAAAGTAATATGAGTGAAGAATGTTCACCCCTCCGAGGAAGATTAAGCCAAACTAGAGGCAGGTAAAAAACATTTGAGACAATAAATTGTCTTTGTTGCCTTTAGTCATAAACAGAGAATTAACCTAGCTGTCTCACATGAGACTAAAAGAGGCTGGGCAGATGCACTGTGGATCAGAGAAAATCCAGTTGAGTTACCAGGAGTTCATAATAATAATGGGGGGGCGGGGAGTAGGGAATGGCAACTCCCTTTTTTGTTCTTCATCCCAGCAAGCCCAGAACTAATTCAGATACGATTAGGGATGCTTGTTCAATATTCAAAATGTAAAACATGGAGGTTGCTGAACCAGCACTTTGAAAAGTTAATTAAATGCCAGGGTTCTTTTTAGCAGATACTCCATCACTTTCTGATTGCTTTGACTATTTTACAGGATGAAGGTTTAAAAAAAAAAACCCTCAGTGTACTGGGAAATACTCTTTTCTTGTTTTCTTGAGTGGGAGCACAGCAAGATAAGAATCTTAGTAAGAATTTTAGAATAAGGATAAGAATTTTACTATAACACTAAGTATTCTGGTCCCACAGAAAGCCTGCCACCAAAAAAATCCAGAAATGGTTCCCATTTCATCAAGAGCTTTAAAAACCCTCCTGGTTTTTTAGTCCCTCCATTCACCCCTCAGTTTTTACAGGAACAGGCAGTTTCCAAATGGCAAATGTTACCACTAGAGCTATTAGAAAGCCTCTGCTGCTTCTTTTCTTTGTTAAAGTGAGATAACAAATGTGGTAAGAGATAGTACCTTTTGCATTCTGTACTATTTCAAAATTTACCACACCTACACATTTTCCTCTTGTAAGACATATTAGGACAAAGAAAGGATTTTGAAAATGTATACAAATAAAACTGGCAATATCATCCCTATGCTTATAGATATCTGTGGTCCAACTACACAAAGAATCCTTTTGCAAGCACAAATCCCTGCTTGGCCAGGAAGGAATTAAAAATTCAGTTAGGTCTTGATTGACAAGTTCAAAAGCTCAGAAGCTCAGATTGATCCAGACCTTGAGATGATTTCCCCTTTGAAGACCTGTGCCAGAACCTAATCTCAGAGAATATTTACTGAAAGCACTCAGGGCTAGGTCAAACACAACTGCACTGTGCTTTTGTAATGAAGAAATACTTTGAATATGCCTTTCAAAATTGTATGCTAATTCCCTGAAGATATAGTGGCACCTCGACTTACGAACGTCTCCACTTACAAACATTTCGAGTTACAAACAGCTCCGTTCACAAAATGTTGCTTCGACTTGCGAACGGAGCTTCGACTTATGAATTAAAAAAACCTTCCTGCCCTTTTTTTGACCTAAGTTCATCTTAGGTCAAAAGAAGAAAAAAAAATAAAAAATTCTCCCCCTAGTGGTAGAGTATGGATTAAACGGCTTTGCATTAGTTCCTATGGGAACAAATGCCTCTATTTGCGAACAGCACCTCGACATAAGAACGAAAAACAGCTGGAATGGATTAAATGATTTTCAATGCATTCCTATGGGAAATGTTGCCTCAATTTACGAACTTTTTGACGTACGGATGCCGTTCCAATACGGATTACGTTCGTAAATTGAGGTACCACTGTACATGGCAAAATATCCCCCCTCTGGAGGACTGTCACTCCACAATTTTGTTTTAAAGCAAGTGTGGTTTTAGACTATTTAAATAAAAGTCTTCTGACTTTGTTTCTATTACCTTTAATAACTGACCTACAGCTCACCAAACATCACCCTTCCTTACTCATAAAGCTGCAACAATGTATCTACTTTGCAAAGTTCTTGCTGGTAAGCTTGTTCCATGCATGCTTAATCTTACAACAAAGCCACTGTTTTTCCCTTTTGAAAGGCCTTTTGTGAGGATCCGTATTTCAGCCCTTGCAACCTGGACCCTTTCTAAATTAAAAAGCAGGTGGGGCCAGCCATTCTCTTTCGATATACAGTGGCGCCTTACTTAGCAATGTTAATCAGTGCAGCAAAAATCACCGCTAACTGAAAACATCGCTAAGCGATTTTTAAAAGCCCATAGGAATGCATTGAAACCCCTTCAATGCATTCCTATGGGCAAAAAACTCACCTTTAAGCGAAAATTCTCCATACGGCAGCCATTTTCGGTGCCCAGTATGCGAGGAATCTGTTCCAAAACACAGTGGGCGGCCATGTTTTTTTCCGGTGGCCATTTTGGAACTGCTGATCAGCTGTAGGAAAAAGATCGCTATGCGATAATCGGTAAGCGAAACAGCTTACTGATCATCACAAAGCGATTTTTCCTATTTAAAACATTGCAATGCGATCGCTTTTTCGATCGCAAATTCTTCGTCGCTAAGCGGTTTTGTCATTAAATGGGGCGCTCATTAATCAAGGCACCACTGTATATTTGAGCAAGGGAAAACAGCTTTATTTTAAAAACATCATAACTTGAAAAACTCTTGTCCAAACCCCCACAAACTTGGCACAGTGCAAAAGCAGTCTATCTGCAACAACTGTGCCACATTCAGTGCTGATATTAAGCCCAGTTTAAAAGTTATAATGTTTTTGTTTGGCTGGCAATCATACATTGGTGCTGAATGGTAGAAGACTCAGGACAAATAAAAGGAAATATTTCTTCAAACAGAGCACAGTTAAGCTGTGAAAATCACTATGTAGTAATGGTCTTAAGATTGGACACCTACAGAAAAGATTCAACAAATTAATCAAAAATAATGCTATCAACAGTTACCAATCTCAATGACTATAGATTACAAATGAAGGATGCCTCTCTACAGCAGCTACTGGCAGACAACACAAGACAGAGTGTGCTACTACATTTGCAGCTTGCTGATGCATTTCCAGTAGTTGATCACTATGTAAACAATGCTGGACAAAAATAAGGCTTTTGTCTGATCCAGCATGGCTCTTCTTGTGTTCTTATATTATGAAGACAAGTAAAATGGAGAGAGACAATACAAATTTAATAGCCAGAAACATATTATACCATAGATGAATTGTTTTTTTCAACAGGTTCATCCACTGGTGAAACATCCTTTGCAGCTCCATTGCAACGTGCTCCTGCATCCTCAATGAAACATGCAAGTTCATTTTTGCATTGGATTTAAGAGAGACAGAGAGGGTAAATCAAACTGCAGAATGCTATAATAAAAGGTGAGATCTGAATAGAAGAATGTGGTCGAAATGCTTGTTTAGAATGACAGCCCAGCTTTGGGTGTGTGTGTGTGGGGATCTCTCATACATGCTTACTAGCTCTCATGTGATGGACTTACAACTCTTACCATCTCAAGCAAGTGGTTATGTTCACTGGGGATGATGTCAGATGCAGTTCAATATCCCAGAAGGACACCAGGTTAAGGATGCTAGCCAGGTCTTTTCCACTGCAAAAACATTTTAGAATGGACCTTTCTTCTTCCTTTCTTTTTCTTTTTTGGTAATGGTTATATTATGACCTGTCCTGAAGCTGTAGACTAAAAAGCAAAAGATTCATTAAATGGGTACAATGACATCTTTCTGTTCTCTGTCAGAAGACATACTCCTTAGAAAGAGAAGGAACTTTCTCTAACAGTGTACCATGTTTAGGGTGAAGAAGCAAATCATGAGAGCTACTGTCTCGGAGGTTAAGTGCTGAAGGGTGAAAGGCAGTACTAATGTAGACATCATCTCTGTTAAAATGTTTCTCTCCTATTTAATGGAATACTGTGGAGATTTAATGGAGATAAAATAGCCAGGCTCCAAGAAGAGCAAGGATGCTATATTCATGCAGGATGACAATGTTCAGTGGTTAATTAGACACCGTTAACCTGTTTTAACAGGGGACATAAGTGGGATAAATGTGGACAAATGCCCTTGACATTTTTCAATGTCTATAGCTCATGGAGGACCCTACATAGCCTTTCTTGCTGTGGTCCAGTACACACAGCAGTGCTCTGGAAGTCAGCCTCTTGCACAGACATACAACAGAGAATGAACAAATTACACAGAGGTGGGGAATAAAGGAATAAGGGAATAACATAAGGTGATGTGGTTATATATCTAGTGTTTCTATCAAATAAGTGTTTGGAGAACATGAGAAATAATTATTAGACACAGGTTGGAAACTGAAAGTTTCAAGATGCCACTTTCACATTCTAAAATCTTTTTAAATCACAGTTATTTATGAAAATTTCATATTAAAAATCTAGTTATTTAAAACCTTTCATATAACATGGGGGCCAATGCAGTGTACAAAACACACATATAATATATCAGGAATGAGCAGACTTCAGGCCTGTGAATATCGACCAACTAGAGCTTGGTAGGAAAAAAACAGTGCTTAGAAATAAATACTTCTGAGCCCAGAAATTTATTTAGAGCAACAGAACTGAATGGATCTCACCAAGATCCACTCCTAGTTATCTCAATCTTTTTGTATTTCAGCAGTATAATTTCAGTCAAAATGGTGGCACATTTTATTGCATAGTAGTCAAATAACTGGAAGTAAAAAAATTCTTGCTGTCTAATATAAACTACTCAGAGATCCACCAATAAAATGCAGTACATATAACCATTATCATTCCATAATATGAACCCTTTGTAAATTAACTGCCAGCTGGTCAAAATGACCAGCTGGCAGCTAATTTACAATGGCCTACAAGAAAAATGCAACAATGCTGTGTTTGGACATTATTTGCCTTTGCACAATTGAGCCAATTACATTATTTTATACCAGACACACTAAAAAAGCTAACTTAATATTAAGAAGGCACAAGGAAGGAACATGCTTGTTTTAGAGAGCAGTGGACAAAACAAGCTGATAGCCTATAAGATTAAAATGTAAAAAGCCAATCTATGAGTAGCTGTTTAAAATCAAGATGCACACTGAGATTTTTTTTTCCTTTTTACATGGTAGTCAGATCTGCCACACTAAAAAAGCTAACTTAATATTAAGAAGGCACAAGGAAGGAACATGCTTGTTTTAGAGAGCAGTGGACAAAACAAGCTGATAGCCTATAAGATTAAAATGTAAGAAGCCAATCTATGAGTAGCTGTTTAAAATCAAGATGCATACTGAGATTTTTTTTCCTTTTTACATGGTAGTCAGATCTGCCTTTAACTTCCAAACCAGTATTATCTAGTCCAGGAGGCCACGCCATTTTCCAGGTCTATCAGAGTCCCAGTACACTTCGCTTGATCACATACTGTTTTATTTATCCATATGATTACAAAGAAAACCCGAATAGGTACTGATGGGACAGATCTTATACTGCCAGTGGAATAGAAACCACTAAGCCTGTATTAAATTTTGTACATATTTTCTGTGCAAAGTTTGCCCCCTTCTGACTAAATATAAAACAACATTCCCCCCTCTTCTCTGTCTTCCAAATTCCCAACTCATGTTGCAGCTTTGCTTGAGAGAGGGAGGGAGGAAGGAAGCTACTGCTTGAACAACTGACCATGTAGTCAAAACACACACCTCAGTAATCGTATCTGTCATCCTTTTACTCGGTTTCAGGAACAATGAAGCTTCTGTACATCACAAATTCTGAATTTGAAAAGTGATGGAAATAGCAACAGAAATGACTTTTCTCCAAGACTTTAGATAACAGCCCTAGATACCATTAAAAATCCCAAACTATGTTAGAACCAATGCAATATTCTTTCAAGAATAGCACTACTTCAAAAACTTCCATAAAACAGAAAGCAAATGTATACACACAGAGTACACTGCCTGGCTTTTCACTTCCAGACATGGAGATGAAGAGTAACCCAGTGGTGCCAGATGTGAGGGATGGGGAGTGACTGAGCTCTGCAGGGAGCCAAGGACTAAAATATCAAAGGTACTACAGGTCCAGATGCAGAAGCATCATTGCAGCTGAAGGGGATGTTTCAGCATGGCAGTGAACATTCTTGCTGGCCTGTCTAAGCTGTTTCTCTTTTATAAATGACCCACAAAATGAAAGCCCCTTGAAGACGCCCTCTTGCTATAAGAACAGAAAGAAGAGAGTAGAAGAGAAAGTACTGATGTTCACAGACATTTTGTTTTTGAAGGGAGGATTAATCAAAGGGAAAATAGAGCAATTTGTTAAGCTTGTAGCATTCAAAATATCACTGCTTCTGAACAAAGTCACTGAAAACACTGGGTGCTTTCACAGATTGCCACCAGCTTAAGGGGTGGAAAAAAATGATAAAATTTTATTTTTAAGGCGTAAGGAGGGATATAGCATTATGTAAACCCAAAGGTTTGGGATTTTATGGTATGGGGTTATGGATAAAATTGGCCAAGACAGTGAAATGTAAAGGAATAAATTTAAAAAACAGTAATTCTGTACCTAACACATTTGTCTGATCCTTTCCCACCACTTCTTCCTATACGAGTCATTCCACTTCTAAGATTTTCATATTAAAAACTCAAATGTGTAGTCTATATAAAATGAATTGTATTTTCTATTTTGAACATTTTATTCCAATTAATACATTAGTGATTCCAATATAATACTGAAGATTCTACTACAACTGCCTAAATTGTACAGGACTGTCTGTAGTATGTGTTATTAATAGGGTTGCTTTGAATTTTCTCCACTGTTAATTTTCCCATTTAAAATTTGGTGGGGGTTAAGGTTTTTTTTTCACCCAAATACTTTGCATTTTTGAACACTAATATTTTCCCCAAGGTGTTTCTGCACCTCCTCCATCCTCTGCTCACATTCTGGGTGAGAGTAATCAGGGATCCTATGCTGAGCCAGGAGGGTGCCATCCATGATGTTACTGCCAGATTAGGTTATATGACCAAATCAGAAAGAAAAATTGAGAATGAGGCAATGCTTTCTGGATTAATTACACTGGTGGTTTCTTTTATTTCAGATATACGTGGCATTCAGGATTGCATGTCACGATGCTACACAGACAGATACAGTATCACTCATGGTGAATGAAAGCAAATGCTTAACTGAGTGAGGGCATAGTAACTGAATATGTAAAATTTTGCAAGGCGCAGTGATGATCATTTGAAAAAAAGATTATCTTTGGCACTGACAAAACTATTTGTATCAATGTACCATTCAGGACACTCCACTTTACAAAATCGCTAATCCCAATCCTTGGTCTGTTTCAGAAACTCCTATGTCAGTACGCCATTCCCAAGGATCTTTGTTAGTCTGATTATCTCAGCAAAATTCAGTGGAATTTAAAATGCAACTCAGACAGATGGAATATGTCTGAAGACTTGTAAAAACAAAAGTACTGTTATCATAAATACAGAGCAACTATTAGGCATATGGCTACTTGGGACAACTTCAAATCCTTGCCATCTCAGTAACAAGGTCTGGCTCAGATTCTGTACTGACAGTCAGGAACATCCCCTTCAGATTTAAAACCTATCATGGCTTCTCTCAAGAGGGGGAATGAAAAATCTCAAATAGAATTCCCAGCAGTCTCAAAATTCTACAGCTCTCATGCACAAACATATCCAGTTAAGGTATAAAGATGCGCAAGTTATAGACCTCTATGTCCTGAAAAAAAACAGTTAAGTTTTAGATTTGACACAGGTCTGTTATTACAGTTATCTGCCAGAAATAAAAGGAAGATATTACAAAAGACAAGTACAGCTAACCTTTCCAACCTTTTTTGAGGTTGAAACATTCATTTTCCAAAAGAAATTTTAACTCAGTTCTTCCAAAATTTTTTGCTAAGAAACACATTGCCAGAATTATGCCTTTATTCACCATCTATCTGTTGTTGTTAGCTCTTTTACCCTGAATTTATCTTTGTACTATGAATCCCCTCAGGGCTCCTGTCCTGGAAACTCTGCTAATGAATCTTCATTTAATGCTACTAGGAAAACCATGCCTTACATGATAGCTATCTAAAAGGTCTTTTTTTAAAAAAGGAGAGTAACAATAGTTTGTTGTTTTCTATTTCACATAAAAAATATTTGTTAAAAAAAAAACACAACCACCCTACTTTCTCCAATGTGTTAGATTAAAAAGCATAAAAGAGAAACTACCAACTTTGATTATCTCTTTTGCTCAAAGATTAAAACTAAGTAAAACACAAATACCATCTACTAAATATGCTCTGTGTCAACTAGCAAAAGCTCCTTAAGATGAGTTCCCTACTTTGTCCCTTTTACCTTATTATTTTTACTAGGTCTGACATAAGAAGTGGTGGTAAAAAGAAAAGGAAAGAACCATCTCAGCAATGACACTGAAGGAGAAGAGGACATGAGCCAGTTAGCATTCCAGGAACATCCACTCTATAAAAAGGGAGGGAGAGAAAAAAAAAAGCCCAAATCCACAGACTGCAGCTCTACCGCCATCTTGATGTCCTTGATGCGTGCTGATGGCATGGAGGCGGTTGGAACCAGAACAGCCCAAGAGAAGGAATGAGAGGCCAATGGAGATTTATGTGAGGAGAGTGAGATGGACAAGGTAAAATTGTCAGGAGGAGTTGTTAGAAAGTAAAATATATTGTGACAATTCCACTCCTGCCGTTCATCAATAAACTGACAGATCATTTAGTGTCAATTAGATGTGATAGATGGACAAGTCCCCATGATCCTGGGCCAAAATTAATGGCTGGGAGGGAGAGGGTGATTGAAAATGACGGCTGACATTGAGAAGAAAGTCCTGAAGGTCCCCAAAGGGCCATTACTTGCCTCATTCCCTTGCAGATCAATGCAGGGGCAAACCCAAAAACAGACACTTCAAGACAAAACTTAATCAGACTTCCTTGCCTTTGCTTCCTTCCTTCTAAGTTCTGCTTGCACGCGGCTTCCTGTCCCCTCTTTTTCTCTCTCCTCTCCCCAGTGACAGTAGCAACAAGTGGCATGATAAAATACATTTGCAACAAGCCACACTTTCAAATTTGTGGCAGAGCCAGCAGGGAACTCCCCGTTAGACAACACATTCAAACTGGCCACTGATTTGCTCCCTATCACCTAAAGGACTTGGTGGATACATCTCTTTATGAACTGGTCCTGAAGCAGATACAGTTTGCAGTGGCCAGCAATTACCTCTGCCATTCGACCACTGTGAAAAAATACCACTGCAAGCAAAGGTAAAAAGTAGTGAATGTTTCACATCACCCAGGACATATGGACGTTTCTGCCTCCTGAATCTTTACATTGAATGGGGCTACACAGAAATCAGTAAATCAATGAATAAATAAACCTATTTTTTCTATGGATGAACCAGCATTTATCCTGGCAACAAATGCTTCTTTTTTGAAGAAAGGATTTTTTCACAAATTTTGTAAAATCTCAGTGTGACTTCATACACACGAGATATAACCATATTATTCTTAATAATAATTAATATTTTGAATTCAGCGCCTACCCCATGTTCAAGTTATGGAATGACCAATGATAGAAATTAGAGCATCAATTGAAACTATCCTATTAAAATCCAATTAAGTCCTATCTTTGATTAGCTGATTTTCACTTATCTCCAGAGACTTCAAATTAAGTGCTCAGTCTCCAGAGAGTTTTTAGTTCCTAGGTTCCAGTTTCAAATATTTACATACTTGAGGCTTTCTCTGTGCTGTCAGCCTTTAGCAATTTTTTTGCTGGCCCCAGAATCAAAACTGACTAAGGCCATACTCCATGTAGATATATTTTCAAGCTCAACATCTTTCCCAGACCTCTTATCATATGCCAGCAACTTCTAAGATGAACTGTAAATTCAGAATCCTCTAAATTCTAGGGACGTTTCCAACTTAGCACCATACTCATATGTAGGACTATAATCAGTGGCATGGAAGTTGTAATCCAATACATCTAGATGGTACCAGACTGGAGATACTCTAGAGGAGCCATCTCAATTTTTTTTTTGGGGGGGGGCATGGCCATAAATACAATATGAAAGAAATATAGGCCAAATCACAATTGTATAAGTTGCACAACAAACCTTATAAGGTGGTGTGTGAAGAACTGTTTTCAGTCTGTGCCACCCTTCAAATTTGCCAGAGCCCCACTGAGAATGGCTGCTCTCGAAGCAAATCTACTGGGAAATTCCATTAAAAACAGGCCCTCACATGCACATCTGTGGAGCTCAATGTGGAGAATGTCAGAAGGAGGATACGTGCCCCATGATATATCATGCCAATCCTTGCTCAAAGATATGCTAAAACATAAATACTTCATGATAGGCCCTGACTTTCAGAGCAGCAATACTGGAAACAGACTTGGGGCTATGTCAGACCAAATCACCTGCTTCAAGACAGGTTTTTCCACATATCAATACCTTTAAAATAATGACAAAATAATAATATATAAAATAAAACAAGAAAGCGAGGCACCCTCTCTCTGGGAATGATTCCCTTCCAGCCACCAGCCTCCCCTCCAAAACAAGGATTTGGGTACCAAATGGGACTAAAAAAAGGTTCCCCTAAAAGAAAAAGTCAATCTCTACTAGGGCTGAGAAAACAAGCCTTCATTTCTCTTTTTTATTCGAGTAAATCTTGATTATCTATTCCTCTTACCCACATATTTTGACTATTCTTTGCTTGTTGCTTATTAGCAGTTTAATTACACAGGGCAGGCCATCCTATCTGAACCTGTCTGCCCATTCATACTTTCACTGGAGGTTCCTCTTTCAGCCCCCTCACCTTCAGTGCCCAGACACAAAACCTTTTGTATTATGGCACTGCATCACCCACAATATACAAGTGCCTATTTGCCTTATTAGTACTTAAGAACCCAGCAAAGAGATGCTTATTTCACTGGGCCTTCAGGTGATTCCATTTCAATCAGTTTTTTCTTCTTCTCTGATTAGTGGAATGCAGGATTAATGCAGAAGTTTTCTAGTTTTAGTAATTTCAGTGAAGAACTTTGTATATTGCTTTATGATTTCCATTGTAATGTTCCTTTTATTTATTTTTACTGTATTTCCTGTTTTGGGAAAGGCAAGATATTAACATTATAATGACAACCAGTGTTCTACAAAAGGCTATACAGAAGCTTTTGACCTGATAACAATGAGATTCAGTCCACATATTAATGCTTGTTCTCAGTCCCATCCTCCCTTTCTCCTGTGCATAATCTGTGGGCTGACAAAAGTGCAAACAAATATATGAGTAGCCCAACACAATTCCTTCTCACTCTCTCCACGATTGTCTCTTTGGATTATTTCTATCAGTGTATCAGACTCCAACTGAACCATCACCACTACTTTATTTTCCTATTCTTATTTGTGTGATCATTAGTGCAGTGTTTTTCATAATTAAATAGCATTAAAAGTTAGGAGCACAGAACACAGCAATCCTAAAGGGTCAGGATAGAGTACATGAGCTCTTGAGCTAGTATACAGGCTGTATCCACCGTGGAAGCCGCCTGCAAAGACTTCTGCCAGCTTGTATGCACTTCTGCTGGTGTTTCAACTGGCACTAGGCTCTGAAACAAGGTGTTTTGAGGACAGGATAGGATGAAAGAGGTTCTGTGGTATCCAAAGCTCTTTCATTCTCCCAAGACAATCCAAGACCAAGCTTCTCAACTGGTGTAATTAATTTACCTTACACTGGTTTCACAAGAGGAGGAATCTTAAATTTTATTTTCTGTCTTTATTTTATTTATTTAACTTATATGCCACCCACTCCACCCAAAGGTCTCTTAAAATAAGACCCACTGGGCTGAAAAGTTTGGTAAAACTTTCTCTCCTTTCTGGCAAATGATCCACAGATTCACAACATCATGCATCCATAATAGGCACGAAAGATTTGCTCTCTCAAAATTCAAATGGCTTCACATGTATCTTCTAGAAATCCTTACAATAACAGTGTAGGTTGATCAGTATTATTATTCCCATACAGAGGGAAGTGTATATAAAGAGTAACAGATAGTGGCCTATCCAAAGCTACCTACTGAGTTTGTGGACAATGCAATATTTGAATCAGAAACTTCCCAACTTGTAATACAGTCTCTTAGTGAATTCTGTGTAGATTTGTGTATAGCTAGTATTTCATTGATAGGGCCAGAAACTTATTCTTAAAGCAGTCAAACTGCAATCCATAGCAAAATGAAATGTGTACTTTGAAAATAACTTTGCTCAAGTAGTCATTGAACTATTAGGTGTCTAGATACAAGGACGCTCCTGGGTGAAGATTACATACATTAACCTTCACAATATTTTATCATTTAGTCAAGAAATCTTGGATTCACATAGTATTACTGCAACATACTGATGCAGCCACAGATCCACAGCACTAGCACTGCAAATAATATCTTACTTTTAAAAAGATATATATATATGCAAGTAAAACCACTCTTGATAAGTACAATGGCTCCCTAAATCTGGCATTTTTTCTTTTAAGATAATATACATGTATACACAAACAAGAAAAACAAAGGTCATTCAAGAGAATAAATTCAAGCATTTGAAGACTCATCTTGCTATCTCATAGTAATAGAACCCAGGGTAATCCACAGATGCTAAAAGGTTGGCAGATCCACGACAGATAACATAAACTCTTTAAACAGAGCATAGTTAAACTGGGGAATTCACTACTACAAGATGTACTGAAGGCCCCCAATTTGGACAGCTTTTAAAAGGAGAACGGCAGTTGGCTAACTACTGTACTAGATAGGCTTTCCATCTGATCCAGCATAGTTTACTGTATGTATATTCTTATCCCCTGGTGGCAAAAAAAGAGAAGAGAAACTCACTGATTCCAATTACAAAATATCCTTTAAAAAGGAACTCTCTATGGTGGAAACAGGGATGACTGTGTTTTTTTTGGGGGGGGGTGTCTTTCTTTCCACCTCCTCCCCTTTCAAGCCATTTAAATTCCTTAGCATAGGAGAATAGGTGCTCTTTGCCAGAAGCTTGATGATGTCTTCAGCAAGCACATGCTATTTTCCCCTTGTGTCTTATAAATAAAATGCATGAACAAACATAATAGGCAATTTACAATATATCTGTTTATCAAAAGGTAATGATGTCATGAAGTACATCTGCACAGCTTTCAGAATGGAACTTGAGTGCCCTCTGCTGGTTAAAGAAGTGACTTTGCTATAGAAAATATATACAGTATGTACAATTCCTTCTAATGTAAATCTGTTCATGGGCAGACAAGAAGAAAGCATTCCGAAAGAGGCTAATGACAAACTTCTTCTATGTCAGAAATGCATTTAAAATATTATTATGGTTTTGGTAGATGATGATGAATGGCTAGAAAAGTTTAACTGTATTCGTGGTTCTAGTGGTTGTTGTGGGTTTTTCGGGCTCTTTGGCCGTGTTCTGAAGGTTGTTCTTCCTAACGTTTCACTACTCTTTGTGGCCGGCATCTTCAGAGGACCAAAGCACAAGTCGCTGTCCTCTGAAGATGCCGGCCACAGAGACTGGCGAAATGTTAGGAAGAACAACCTTCAGAACACGGCCAAAGAGCCCGAAAAACCCACAACAACCAAAAGTTTAACTCTTACATCATCTCTGTTCATCTTCATATCGGAACTACAGTACATCTAGTAACACCAATGAAATTTCACCCATTCTTTTCTCAATCTCTCCTTACCACTGAAAACAACTAAATTTGTCAATGAATTTTACAGCATGCCCACATATGCCCACATTTACTTGACTGGAAATCTTTCCACCCCAAATATATAAAGAGGAATATTATCTACAATTTGGCTTTCAAAACAAATGTACTTATAACAGTGAAGAGATCCTCTTCTTTAGTTTATTTTAATTTTATTTTTTACTTATAATGCTTGCAGAGACCAACATAGTTACCTCTTCTACAACTTTTTAAAAAATCTTTGAGCTCAAGAAACTCCAGTTTCACTGAAGAGATATTTTCTATCCAACATCAATGCAATCAGCAAAAGCAATCCATCATTAGCAAACTTGGAGCATCTTACAAAAGCCATTAGCAGGCTTCTGGTGACAGGATTCCACCAGCCTCCCAGTATTACAGAGACTACTTGAAAGATATGTCTTCAAACCACCAGCCAGCAAACTAGATAACACTCTTGCCATTCTAAGTCCAACATTACCTCTGTCGCTCTTATGAAGATGGTCACCTTTAAGAGCATTGTTACTGGTAGGACCTCCTCTATTAAACAGAGTATCAGCTGTATGTCCTACTATCTAATCTCACTAAATGCGGGCAGCAAGGATAACATTTGCAGAATATAGGCAAAACATGAACCAGAAGTCATAAACAAGCTTTCATAATGCTTCAGAAATCATAAACAAGCACACTTGACCAAAAAATTGGAACAACTGATGACTGAACATAATGCTTCAGAAATCATAAACAAGCACATTTGACCAAAAATTTGGAACAACTAATGACTGAGCAGTTTACAGTGGTGCCTTGCAAGAAGAATTTAATTCATTCTGCGGTTAATGTTGTCTTGTGAAATATTCATCTTGCGAAACACGTTTTCCCATAGAAATGCATTGAAATCTAATTAATGTGTTCCTATGGGCAAAAAAGGTCAGAACAAAGTCAAATTTGGTTTACAGAGGGTTTATTAAGTGCTCTTTAAGGCCATACATATTGTGCAGATGATTTCAAAAATTTCAATCAAAAAACTTTTGAAACATCATAGAAAAACATTTAAAAATCAGCAAACATGAGGCAGGAAGAAAAAAATGGAAAACATTCGTCTTGCGAAGCATGGCCATAGGAACATTTGTCTTGCGAGTCATCAACCCCATTCCCAAAACCATTTGCCTTGCAAGTTTTTTGCCCTGCGAGGCATTATCTTGCGAGGCACCACTGTATTTGTGAATATCATGACCTATCAGGCTTGTCTGTGATTGGGACCGATACATCATGAAATCAAAAAGAGGATTTACAGATCCTCTTTTGACACCTCATCATCTCCATCAAGAAGACAATAATTGACGGCATTCATTCATTACATACTAGTTTGCCCTCTGGATTCTATAATTGCCACTTTGGAAACAGCATAATTTTAATTGGAGCAATTAAAGGACACAAATGTTGAAACATCTTGCTATAATAATTTATTTTATTTTAGACACTCTACCGAAGATACAGATAAGTTTATATTATAGGTGCTACTGAATATTGCACAATGCAGAAGTAGGAGAGATTTGCTAGATAGTAACTGTAAGTGAAGACAAACTAGAGTATATTTTATGTTAGTCCCCGTTCTGTTCATATCTTGGTTTATTCCTTCTGTTTAGTACATCTTGACTTTCCTTTGCTTATGGTTCAAATGTTCATGATGTAGACTACTTCAGTCCTGTAATTCAATCTATTAAACACAAGTTGCTTGGGCAAAATATTTTAGCTTAATATTGAGGGAAATCAGTATTTTTCAGGCTAGTTCCAATCTTATTCTTTTTCCTCATGCTTTGTTAAAAGATGTAACTACAGATAAAACCTATCAATAAGGTCAAAACATAGGTCAAATTCCATTATATTCCAATACATGTTGTTGTTATTATATGCCATCAACTAATTTCTGTTCTGACTTATTTATTTTTGTATTCATGCTGTTTATATGCCACTTTTCTCCTCATACAGAACTCAACACACATCACAATCCATTAAAATTATACAATAATACAGTTGGTTGGGCAAAATATTTTGGCTTAATATTGAGGGAAATCAGTATTTTTCAGGCTAGTTCCAATCTTATTCTTTTTCCTCATGCTTTGTTAAAAGATGTAACTACAGATAAAACATATCAATAATGTCAAAACATAGATCAAATTCCATTATATTCCAATACACGTCGTTGTTATTATATGCCATCAACTAATTTCTGTTCTGACTTATTTATTTATTTTTGTATTCATGCTGTTTATATGCCACTTTTCTCCTCATACAGAACTCAACACACATCACAATCCATTAAAACTATATAATAATAATAATATTAAAAACACTGTAAGAAAGAACACTAAAACAATTAAATGAGTTTACAGTATGAAAACTACAAGAAAAAAGATTTTTTTTTAAAAAATCTCTACATTCAAAAGAATTGCTCAAATCCACACTTACAGTTAAAAGGCTGCCTGAAAAGAAAAACTACAAGAAAAAAGATTTTTTTTTAAAAAATCTCTACATTCAAAAGAATTGCTCAAATCCACACTTACAGTCAAATACACACTTACAGGCTGCCTGAAAAGGAAAGTGTTTACCTGATGATGGAAGGACAAAGAGGATGGGGCCAACTTGGCTTCTCAAGGGACTGCATTCTGCATAGTTACCAACTATGAGGTTAGTGAGACCAACTATGAGGGTAGTGAGACTGAAAGAAAGGCCTTCCCAGAAGACCTTAAAAGCCAAGGAGGTTCACATGAGATGACACTGTCCTTCAGACAGCCAAGACCCAAGTCATACAGAATTTTATAGATCACAACTAGCACTTTGGATTGGGCCCAGAAACAGATTTTGTTGTTGTTTAGTTGTTAAGTGGTGTCCGACTCTTCATGACCCCATGGACCAGAACACACCAGAACACACCACACCTGTCTTCCACTGCCTCCCAGAGTTGGGTCAAATTCATGTTGGTAGCTTCAATGACACTGTCCATCCATCTCGTCCTCTGTCATCCCCGTCTCCTCTCGCCTTCACACTTTCCCAACATCAGAAACAGATTAGTAGCCAGTTAAACTGGTATAACATGCTAAAGTAATTGACAGCAAAGGAAGGCCCACTTGAATCAATAGAACTTATGCAATGGAACTCATTCACGAAACTTCCATTGACTGGATTTTGATCCAAATCTATTAATTTTGGTAGACACAATGAATCAATGACTGAAAAGTGAGTCAACGCACTAGCCCATTCAATTGTTTACCTTGACTAAGACAAACAATCACATTGGGGCAGGCAAAGAATGGACTCCCTGACCCTGCTCTCCCATATTCTGATTAATGAATCAATGACTGAAAAGTGAGTCAACACACTAGCCCATTCAATCTGTCTACCTTAACTAAGACAAATAATCGCATTGGGGCAGGCAAAGATTGGACTCCCTGCCCCTGCTCTCCCATATTCTGATATTTAAAAAAACCAAACATTTTACTCAAGAAATCCTTTGTGCCGTTTAAGGATTACAGGAACAATTTTGACATTTTTGGGAACTGTCAGCATCCCTGCCCCACTTATCCCAAAAGCTGCCACTAGAGGGGCTTTTACAATTTTTTAAAAAATTAAGAAACCTATTTTGAGGGCAAATGGCCACAGGAATGAGTGTAGCCCTCCAGGATCTAGGAATAGGTGTATGTAGCCTCTGGCCTTTAGAAACTGGCCACCTCTCAGATTCAGGCTTCATATATCTATATTAGATACAGAACTCCTTTACACCACTATGTAGGGACATTATATTATGTGGAACTCCCTCATCAGAGATGGTGTTGGTTGGACAGAAACTTCAGCATAGTTTAACATTTGACAAAGAAACAGAGACTTGATACATATTCCTATCTGCTAGCTCCACTCTTCTATCCAGAGTCTTATCATAAATCATACATCTTTCCAGGGTCAGTACAGACAAAGTCTGCACAATAATTACTATTGTCAAATCAAGGGCATGTATTTTGTGCGAAAGCTAACAAAAAGGGTCCTGAATTCATCTTCGCCTGCCTTATTGCACTAACAAAAAGAGAAATTGACTCAGGCAATAACAAAGAGTATTATCTTTGTATTAGCTGCAGCCACTAATGGCAGACAAAATGGGATACCGAAATTGAAAGTAAATAGCAAGTGAGAAGATCTAAAGGAAGCGATAATGAAAATACTTGCTGTTTGATGAAACAGCCTAGATGCTTACAACTGTGTGTTTTACAGTGTTGTCAATTTAAATGAAATTGTACTTACTTGAAAGCACTTGCACCAACCAAGCCAGACCACACTCCTTCCCGGGCTGGAGGTTTGGATGATGGACGCTTAAAGAAGAAAACAAGCAATACAAGGAAGACACATAGAGAAAACCAAGTTATTGATTTATTTTAATGAAATTCAAGGATATTAATTTATCTTAATTATATTGACACTTTTATCCTGCCTTTATATCCCAGAAAGAATCTCTCCAACATGGTTAGCAAATATAACAAAATTGGCAATCATAATACAAATAATATAAACTAAACAGCTGTAATAAAAATAATATACCATAAACAATACAAAGAAGCCAAAAAACACGTTTGATAGCATAGAATTGGTAGACATAAATATACTTGCTTTGATCCTGAGAAAGGAAAACATAGTGGGGAAATTTCTCGAACAATGTATCAATAATAATAAACAGGTAGAATCATGGCCCTTGTTTAGCTAAAACTACTGGAGTAAAAGTGGCTCCTATATTTTTGTATAACAGATTTCCAGTGTGGTGTAGTGGATAGTGAGATGAACTAGGGCTCTGGTTCGAATCCTCACTTGACCATGGAAACTCTCTATGGGAATGGAACTGGTTAAACCATTCTTAAATATCTCATTATCTTGAAAGCCCTATTAGAGTCGTAATGAGTCAGTTCCAACATGACAGCATAGAACACACACTTCTCTGGACTTTTAAAATCATGCTGAAAAAAGTTCGGAATGAGGGATGCCCATTTGCTAACACTGAAGGCAACAGAATACAGTGCATATAATATGCAACAAAATAACTGTTCAAAAGATTTGTTATAGAAGAGCTAAAACACTGTTTTCAGTTTACTTTTAAGTTTGTAACCCACCTACATTGCTGTTGCAACTCATTAAGTCACAACTCACAGGTTTGGAAACAATGATCTGAAGAACCATAGAAATCTTAAATGATATCATCTAGACTACTGAAGTTATAATGGCTGGGCTCCAATCACCTTTCCTCCCTCTACTCCAGGAAACTCTTGAGCATTTTACCATAAAAACCAGTCTTCAATGTGCACTACATGGAAGTACTGTATATCTAACTCAACCCAAGCATCCTTGTAGAGCAGCAGTACTTTGATAATGTGAAGAGCTCAAGCACTATGAAACTGATGGAATGGCAATTAGAGAGGAGGCAGCAAAACAGATATGACTGAATACAGGTACTGTAAGTAGGAGGTAACCTTAAACTTACTCCATTGTAGCAATGGTGGCAACGAAATCTCACTTCTCCATCACCATGATCTGCACAATGTTGGTCAGCAGACCTTTTCCAACTAATGAAAAACCTACTCTAGAATCAAATCAGATAAAACACGTAGTGGCTTGCTGTGATCCATTTGCATCAAATTTTGGATACAAAATTACTTCATTTGTTTCAACATGAATACTTTGACCTAACTGTCCACAGAGATGAGTAGAAAGCTTCTAAAGATGAGTAGGAAGTGTTAAATGCAATACCAAGTTGCTTGCAAGAGCAAGAAGATCAAAGCATATTAAGACTAATTCTGTAGCAACAGCACCAGTTAAAACAGTATGTTCGGGCCCAGTTTAAAGTACTAGCGATCACCTTAAAATTCAGACACCTTTAGCCATAAATTGACTAGTATGAAGGATCATTGGTACCTGGATGGATGGATGGATGGATGGATAGGAATTATCCTATCTGATATTCTGCAGATTGAATATTGAGTTAGCTCTCAAGAGGGACACAGTCTCTTCACCCTTCAAAATCAAATCAATACTTTAAGAAGACAAAATTTTCTTTGTCTCTGGAAGATATCAAGAGAACAGAATGATTCTTTGGTGTCTCCCGAAATCCCTTAGAACTTAGGAAATTCTTGTAAAAGGCCAAGCATCTTCTCCAGATGTAGAAATAATTTTATTCTTGACACAATATTTATGAGTGTGGGAAATGGGCAATACTTGCCATTGGGGGCTACTGCTGCTAGAAAGAAGGGCATGACCTAAAATAGCTCCATAAGAGGAGCAAAAATAGTCACTCTTCAAAAATAAACAGGGAGAAGGAATGAGTTGAATGCTGCAGTTTCAAAATACCAGCTTTCCTCAGCAAAGGGGGTACAGAAGGGCAGAAGGCCAAACAGAACTCAGAACACAGGAAACAGTTTCCTTTTATGGGCTCATCCGCAAGCGACAGAGCTCAGTCGACTGGAATGGTTGTGTCACAAAATGTGAAGCCTTCAGGGGCTGCAGTGAATGGAGTTTTCTGATCTTTAAATGATTCTTCCAGATTCTTCAGATGCCAAACCCAAGAAGCTATCGTGCCAAAAAAGGAGCATATTGAACTGAGATGTTTTAGGAAAGCACACCACATATGGGCATAAGTGTGCACATACACACAAGACCCCATGCTTATTTTTTTTGCTCTTTACCAAACATATAAGCATACCAGATATATTTGTGCTATGCATTTCCACAACAACCTATGATCCATTGTATTTCAAAAATATATAGAGGTTTATAACAACTTTTTCTCATTGCCTATCTATATCACAATGTAGGTCAATCACAGGGAACACTCTCACCTAAATGTTCACCCTCTCACAGAAAGAGAACACTAACAATCTTTACCACTGTGGAAATGAAAATCTTTTAAAAGCCCAGATAGTTAAGATCAACTCTTACCAAAACTTAGCTATCACAAAGACACTTCAATAGCTCACCAATATTCTCTGTTATTCCACACACAAATTAAAGCCCTCTGTGCAAACAACATCACAAGCTTTCCTATTCACATTTTGATATTGCTATGCTGACATATGATGGTGTTAGAATGCAAGACAGACAAACAGCAACGTTTAACACACTGCCACACTTCAGTTTCCCATTGTCTTCCCACTAGTATATTAACCTGTACTATTTAATGTGCTTCCACAAGGCCACTTCTTTGGGGACATAAAGATCTACAGGCTGATTAAAAGAAACTAACATGATGTTTGCTCTAATAGGAAAATTTTGTTTTATTTTTAAAACAGTTTATAAAAGACATCAAATATGAGTTGTCATTCAGCAAACTTTGCACATAAAGATAACAGCAGAAGCTATGAACATGAATGAAACAGAGCATGTGAACCCATGTAAGGAAGATCAAAAATGTTCTGATACAAAAACTGCATCCTATACATGCTTTACACAGGGAGGAAATCCCATGGAATTTAATGAAATTTATTTTCCAGATGAATATACTTACAACTCTAAGCATTATCTGATACAGCATGTCAAAATATTCATCCTTAAAAGTAACTTTCCAAGTTGTGAGTATATTTAGGCTCAAACAGCAAATGAATGATGAAATAGAGTAGTCAAAGATACAGAATGATTAGGAGTTGAGAGAATATTGAAAATGTAAAAAGGAAGGCAGTAGACAAGACAATAAACAGCCATTAGATTTTCACAGAATCAAAGAAAAGTTGAATTGGAAGGGACCTACAAGCCCATCAAGTCCAACCCCCTGCTTAATGCAGGAATATAATCAAAGCATATCTGCCAGGTGATTATCTAAGTTTTTCTTGAATGCCTCCAGTGTTGCAGCACTCACCAACTTCCAAGGTAACTGGTTCCACTGTCATACTGCTCTAACAGCTAGGACATTTTTCATGTTATTCAACTGAAATCTGGTTTCCTTTAACTTGAGCCCATTGTTGTGTGTCCTGCATTCTGGGATGATCTAGAATAGATCCTGCCCCTCTCTGTATGACAGCCTTTTAAATATTTGAAAAGTGCTATCATGTCACCCCTCAGACTTCTTTACTCAAGGCTAAACATGCCCAATTCTTTCAGCCTTTTCTCATAAGTCTTCGTTTCCAGCCCCCTGATCATCCTTGTCACCCTCCTCTGAACTTGTTACAATTTGTAAGCATCCTTTTTGAAGTGTAGTCTCCAGAACCGGACACAATACACAAGGCGAGGCCTAACCAGTGCTGAATAGAGGGGGACTAGCACCTTGCAGGATTTGGAAACTACTGTATACTTCTATTAATGAAGCCTAAAATAGCATTAGCCTTTTTATAGCCACATCACACTGTTGGCTCATATTTAGCTTGTGATCTACGACAATTCCAAGCTCCTTCTCGCTTGTAGTTTTTCTGAGCCAGGTATCCCCCAACTTGTAACTGTGCAATTGGTTTCTTTTTCCGAGGTGCTGTATTTTACACTTATCCCTGTTGAATTTCATTCTCTTTCTGCCCAGTGTTCCATCCTATCAATGTCATTTTGAATTTTGTTTCTGTCTTCTAGGGTATTAGCTATTCCGCCCAATTTTGTATCATCTGCAAATTTGACAAGCATTCCCAGCACTTCCTCATCCAAGTCATTAATAAAATATTGAAGAGCACTGGGCCCAGGACTGGGCCTTGGGATACCCCACTAGTTACCACCTCCCAGTTAGAGAAGGACCCATTAATCATCACCCTCTGATTACAGTTCTGTAGCCAATTGTGTAGCCACCTGACACTTGAACTATCCAGCCCTAGTTAGCTTGCTAATCAGGATATCATGGGACACTTTGTCAAAAGCTTTGCTGAAGTCAAGATACACTACATCTACAGCATTCCCTCTGTCTATCAGGGAAGTTACCTGATCAAAATTTTGATGGATGGGCTTCAGAACCATTGACAGCAGTTTCAGAAAAGAGTATTGGAGAGATAATGGGTCTTCAGTCAAGAGACAAAAGCCAAAAGAAGAGAAAAATATGAACAAATATCAAGAGAAAGACAATGGAGTGGAAGGGGGGGAAGAACGAAGTGCAAGAATGAAGGTAAAACAAAGTGCAGCAGATGCATACAATCACAGAATTGTGGAGCTGGAAGAGATCCCAAGGATCAATAAGCCCAACCACCTGCTGAAGAACAAGTCACAGCTAAAGCATCACTGACGAACAGCCCTCTTACCTCTGTTTAAATACTTCCAAATATGCAGCATCCACCATAATTCAAGGTTGTCAAACAGCTATTAATATCAAGAATTTTTTTCTTAACATTCAGGGAAATCTCTCCTTTTAATTTAAATCTGTTACTCA